GTTACTTTCAGCTCCATTTTGCGACAAAATCATGGCACATAGTCGTGATTCACTCATGCCTCGTCGCATTAACACTACCATTCGAGGAAAGTGATATAGATTTTGAGTTTAGTGGATTTGACCCCATTGGGGCCAGTAATATTCAAGGAATTAGTGAAAATGTCGATGATAATCCAGATGACCCTCAGCCTATCATCTCTGGGGTGGCCACACCAGAGCCTGGGCCAAGCACCTCTGGGGTAGCCAGTGTGGCCACAGCAGACCCTAGGCCAAGCACTTCTGGGGTGGCCAGTGTGGCCACACAAGACCCTGGGCCAAGCACCTCTGGAGTGGCGAGTGTTACCCATAGGCAACTTGCAAGAGAAAAACTATCATTTTCCTGGACCACATGGCGCAGTGGGTGGACAGACAAAGGACTGCCCGGCATCCCTTCAACCATGTGCTGCCTCCACTCCTGTCCCACCTCCCGCTCCCCCTCGCCCCATGCCACAGGTCCACCCTGCACCATGTGATCGTGAGTGGAACTGGACACAAAGTATATTTGTGCCACAGCCTTGTGATTTTGATGCGAGTGGAAGTGGCATCCAGCCAGAATGTCTCCTAACAAATGAGTCTACAGAGTTAGACTATTTCCAGTTGTACTTTGATGAGCCTATAATGAACTTGATAGTGACCCAGACAAACAGTTATTACCGATATGTCATGGACAACAAAGCAGAGGTTGGAGAATCATCACGGCTGCACAGGTGGAAAGACACAACAGTGGCTGAAATGTATTTATTCCTTGCCACTGTCATGCTTATGCCACATACCTATAAGAACAGTATACGTAATTACTGGTCCACAGACCACTTCATCAGTACTCCAGTCTTCCGTGACCTCCTTCCCTGCAACAGATTCACTCTGTTGCTATGAATGTTGCACTTCTCAGACAGAAATACGCCCAAACAGAAATGACCTTCTATACTAAATCCGGGAAGTGTTTATGTATTTGAAGCAGAAATTCAGTGCATACTTTTATCCCTTCAAGAACATTATTGTTGATGAGTCCTTGATTCTGTTCAAGGGACGCCTGTCATTCAAGCAATGTATACTGAGCAAATGTAATCGCTTTAATATAAAACTTTTTGTTATGTGGGACTGTGAGGGTGGTCTTGTGTTGGATGTTACTGTATACACTGGGAGAAACACACTCGATGATGACAGACGGATGTTGGGCATTTCCAGTGATGTTGTTCGCAGGATGATGGAACCATACCTTGGCAAGGGCCATGCATTGTACACAGACAACTGGTACACAAGCCCTATGCTCGCTGATTTCCTACGTGTGAACAATACTGATATGTATATGTGGAACAGTGAAAAGGAATAGAAAACATGCCAAGGTTCAGTGGAGGCAGCATTGAAGGTGCAGTGCAAGTGTTTCATGCTAATGACATCATGGCACTGATGTGGCATGACAAACGGAATGTGACATTGCTGTCAACCATCCACAGAAATGAGATGGTACAGACAAAGTGAACAGGGAGACCAATGAATGCAGTGTAAAGCCAGCTGCTGTCGTGAACTATGCGAACAATATGCGACTAGTTGACAAGTGTGACATGATGATAGGGTTCATTGACTGTGTATGAAGGAGTCGCGAGTGGTATGTAAAACTGTTTTTTCACCTTGTAGACATTGCAGTGCTCAATGTCTACAAGAATTCTCTCTGAATGTTGTGAAACAGATAGCAAGAAAGTATGGTGCCACACCTCCACCTGCCCCTCAACAGCAACTTGTCACACAACCACAGCCAGTGGGGGAAGTGCCAGACCAAATCACCCCTAACTGTCACTATCTGGTACCAGTACCACCTACCCCAAAGAAGAAGAATTCCCAGAAAAGGTATATTGTGTGTGCTACCACCACAAAACGACCCTAACAGTGGAAGGACACATGATTCATTTGTCACCAGTGTGGGGTGCCACTCTATATGAATCCATGCTTCATGGAGTATCATATAATAGTGGAATTCTTGAAACATAAGTGGGACATGTAAATACTTGTGTATAGTTGTAGATAATAGAATGTGACTCAGCCAGGTGTGCAAAATCACCTGTCAGTGTGCACATGTGTGTTTATGACAATATCATAATAATTTCATATATAATATTGGTGTATAAACAACAATTGGCATTGAAATTAAAAGATTTACTATAAAACATAATTATCATATCATGAAAACCAAGAAAATGAAAAAAAAAAATGGAAGAAAATGGTAAATATGTAGAATTTCTGCAAGCGGCAGCGCTCCATGTTGCCATCAGGTGATCGCCAAGTGCCAACTTCGCAGCCTCATATCTCAGAGGTACTTACCCTAATTTTTTGTGTATTCTAAGACGCTTAAAAAAGTGTGCTCCTTCTTTCTATAAAAAACAGATTTTTTTTTTTTTTTCAAAATATTTGGGGCATTGGGTGAGACAACGTATATATACGTTTGGACCCTTTAGGGGTTAAAACACTGACTTTGCGGTGTATTTTTGTATGGTATTTATTGTTGTATTCTTGTTTTCTTGGGCTCTTTTGATAGAATGAAAGATATACAGTGGACCCCGGTTAACGATATTTTTTCACTCCAGAAGTATGTTCAGGTGCCAGTACTGACCGAATTTGTTCCCATAAGGAATATTGTGAAGTAGATTAGTCCATTTCAGACCCCCAAACATACACGTACAAACGCACTTACATAAATACACTTACATAATTGGTCGCATTCGGAGGTAATCGTTATGCGGGGGTCCACTGTACTGTAATAGTGAAATAGAGATGGTTTTTGAATGGTTTACGGAATAAAAGTATACCTTGAAATTGAGCTCAAAGTAGCGGAAATGTTTAATTTTTGCCAGTGTTCAAGAGTAAACAAATGATGTCACATGTCCACTACACGTCAACTGGTGGGTCTAATATGCTTTCACAGATGTTTACCTGGAGTTTACCTGGAGAGAGTTCCGGGGGTCAATGCCCCCGCGGCCCAGTCTGTGACCAGGCCTCCTGGTGGATCAGAGCCTGATCAACCAGGCTGTTACTGCTGGCTGCACGCAAACCAACGTACAAGCCACAGCCCGGCTGGTCAGGAACCGACTTTAGGTGCTTGTCCAGTGCCAGCTTGAAGACTGCCATGGGTCTGTTGGTAATCCCCCTTATGTATGCTGGGAGGCAGTTGAACAGTCTCGGGCCCCTGACACTTATTGTATGGTCTCTTAACGTGCTAGTGACATCCCTGCTTTTCATTGGGGGGATGTTGCATCGTCTGCCAAATCTTTTGCTTTCGTAGTGAGTGATTTTCGTGTGCAAGTTCGGTACTAGTCCCTCTAGGATTTTCCAGGTGTATATAATTTTGTATCTCTCCTGCCTGCGTTCCAGGGAATACAGGTTTAGGAAACTCAAGCGCTCCCAGTAATTGAGGTGTTTTATCTCTGTTATGCGTGCCGTGAAGGTTCTCTGTACATTTTCTAGGTCAGCAATTTCACCTGCCTTGAAAGGTGCTGTTAGTGTGCAGCAATATTCCAGCCTAGATAGAACAAGTGACCTGAAGAGTGTCATCATGGGCTTGGCCTCCCTAGTTTTGAAGGTTCTCATTATCCATCCTGTCATTTTTCTAGCAGATGCGATTGATACAATGTTATGGTCCTTGAAGGTGAGATCCTCCGACATGATCACTCCCAGGTCTTTGACGTTGGTGTTTCGCTCTATTTTGTGGCCAGAATTTGTTTTGTACTCTGATGAAGATTTAATTTCCTTGTGTTTATCATATCTGAGTAATTGAAATTTCTCATTGTTGAACTTCATATTGTTTTCTGCAGCCCACTGAAAGATTTGGTTGAAGTCCGCCTTGCAGTGTCTGCAATGGAAGACACTGTCATGCAGATTCGGGTGTCATCTGCAAAGGAAGACACGGTGCTGTGGCTGACATCCTTGATGTGCTGATATTATTTATACCATTTTTACAATAATGCAGTAGTCTGCATAACAGTAAATTATTTTTTGTGTGAATAAAAATTTGAATTAAAAAATTCAAATGGAAAGCATGTGTAATATAAGAGGGGCCTGGAGATGTGACTAATGAACAGAGAAAATGTTATTTTAGTGCTAGGAATGTTTGTATTGTTAATTCTGGACCCTATTTTGAAATTGGCCTTACTTGATTTGTGTACGAAATTGGCCAAATTACCAATTGTTTATCACTTTATTGGGTAGTTGAAATAGGTAAATGAACATTTCTTATACTTAATAAATAGAAAAAATGGATTTCTAGCTATGAGTTTGGTCGACTGCAACAATGGAATTGGCCGAAAATAGGGTTCAAAGTGAGCGATATTGCCAATGCGTAAATATCGCCGAGACAGCTAACTTTGTGAGAACATAATTCCATAGGTTTTCCATCAAATTTCATATTTTTTATGTCATTACCATCGGGAAAAGATTCTCTCATTTCATAAGATTTTTTTTTTTTTTTTTTTTTTAAATTCTCCGACATGAGAGCAAGTTTGAGAGCAGGGTTCGTGACAGTGAAAGGGTTAATCAAGCATGTCTGTGCACCATAGTCCTCAGTGTGTTGTGGTTGAAATGAGCATGTCTGTGCACCATAGTCCTCAGTGTGTTGTGTGTGAAGTGAGCATGTCTTTGCACCATAGTCCTCAGTGTGTTGCAGTTGAAGTGAGCATATCTGTGCACCATAGTCCTCAGTGTGTTGTGTTTGAAGTGAGCATGTCTGTGCACCATAGTGCTCAGAGTGTTGCAGTTAAATTGAGCATGTCTTTGCACCACAGTCCTCAGTGTGTTGAGTTATACAGAGAGCATTTAGTGGTGCTTGTGGTTTCTAGATTCTTGGAGCCTCTGGGAAAGTATCCCTTGCATATTTGGCAGAAGCAATGTGTGCATATAATAAATACTGTGCTGGTTTACAGGTTAAAATTTCTTGAGCCTATGCAGTTTACCAAAACTACTTGCATTTTCAGATCTCTCAGCCACTACACACAGAACTAAGTAAGAGTGAAGTACAGTCTTTTGTGCTACAGTGCTTCACCATTGATGTACTTCACCGAGAACACAAGAAACAGGCAAGCAGTTCACCTTTTTCTGTTCACTCACATCATGCATATATGTTGAATGTTTTTTATGTATGGGAACTTTATTTGGCACGTGATGAATGTAATCTTACAAGGGTGTGTGGTAACCAGAATATGAGTGTAAATGGTCATACAAATGTGCCCATTTAATACAGTATTCATTTCTTCAATTATTTTTTTATTATTTATTAACACATCAGCCGTTTCCCACTCAGCCAGTGTGACCTGAAAAAGAGGAAACACTTTCATCATCATTCAGTCCATCACTGTCTTGCCAGAGGTGTGCCTACACTGCAGTTCAAAAACTACAACATATCTCTACCCCTCCTTTGGAGTGCAGGCACTGTACTTCCCACCTCCAGGACTCAAGTCCAGCTAACCAGTTTCCCTGAATCCCTTCATAAATATTTTATTGCTCACACTCCAACAGCACATCAAATCATAAAAGTCATTTGCTCCCACTCGCTCCTATCTAACATAATCATGCACGCTTGCTGGAAGTCTAAGCCCCTCGCACACAAAACCTCCTTTGCCCCATCCCCCAACCTTTCCTAGGACGACCTCGACCCTGCCTTCCCTCCACTACAGATTTATGCACCCTCCATGTCATTCTATTTTGTTTCATCCTTTTTAAATGTCTGAACCACCTCAGCAACTCCTCCTCAGCCCTCTGGATAAAACTTTTAGAAACCACACACCTACTTCTAATTTCCAAGTTATGGATTTTCTGCATGATATTCACACCACACATTGCCCTCAGACATGACATCTCTAATGCCTCCAGCCTTCTCCTTATTGCAACACTCAAACCCATTCTTCACACACATCCTGTACTCTCCCAGAGCACTCCAACACCCATCCTATTCTCTCCCAAAGCACGTATAAAAGTGTTAGTACCACTATACTCTCATACATTTCCCTCTTTTCTTCCATGGATAATGTTCTTTGTCTCCACAGACTTCTCTTCTCAGTGCACCATTCACCTTTTTACCCTCATCATAGATCCATCTAGTCTTTCATAAATCCATCTGCTGACAAGTCCACCCCCAGATATCTGAAACATTCACTTCCTCTGTACTCCTCTCCAATCAAATATCCAATCTTTTATTACCTAGATTTTTTGTTATCCTCATCACCTTGCTCTTTCCTATTTTAACTTTTAACCCATAAACGGTCCAAACATATACATACGTTCTTACCGCTAGTGCCTCAAACATATGCTATTTACGTTTTATTTTTCCTGCCTCCAAATTCAGCACGATTGGCCTGAGATGCCTGGTGTGCGCTGTATTAAAAAAGTCTGGGACCACTTAGTACCTTGTGGGAGCACCAGTTAAACTGAGTGCCAGCTAGAGAAAACAGTGCAGCAAACACCAAGGATTTACTGATGTCATGTCATATTAACACTCCCTTTTTAAGAGGAAAGTGATATTGACCCCAAGTTTAGTGGCTTTGAGGTGGAAGACTTCTTAAAAGCCACTTAATCACCCTAGATTAAATGCTAAATACTCAGTACACACATACTCACTTATGTACTCTCACATCATAACTTCAACAATCACTTTGAACCTTTTATCCATTGTTGACAGGAATATAATTGAATCATTGTTTTTACAAAAAGCATTTTAGAATATGTGAATATATCATTTGTCTTATACAAATTTGATTCACTTATAATTAATAATCTACTGTACAACTATGAAATAATTACTATCCTACTATACAACTATGATATAATCCTTAGTGTTAAGTAGTCTGTAAGCCAATAATGTTAAGTTGGCCCATAATGCCTAGGCATAATAGAGGCTCTCTTTGCATTGCAACCCACTATTGTAAATATAAAATCTCAGTGTTCTGTTTGCAAAGACATAAAATAAATAAATAAGTAGTGGAGATGTCATGAAGGTAGTAGAGGCACCATGGAGGTAGTGGAGGTGCCATGGAGGTAGTGGAGGTAGTGGAGATGCCATGAAGGTAGTGGAGATACCATGAAGGTAGTGGAGGTGCCATGAAGGTAGTGGAGGTGCCATGGAGGTAGTGGAGGTGCCATGGAGGTAGTGGAGGTGCCATGGAGGTAGTGGAGGTGCCATGGAGGTAGTGGAGGTGCCATGGAGGTAGTGGAGGTGCCATGGAGGTAGTGGAGGAGCCATGGAGGTAGTGGAGGTGCCATGAAGGTAGTGGAGGTGCCATGGAGGTAGTGGAGGTGCCATGGAGGTAGTGGAGGTGCCATGAAGGTAGTGGAGATGCCTTGTTGGTGAGCAGTGTGTGGCGTGAGTATTGTGCAGGAAAATTTGATAGGAATGAATAAACACAAGTGGTTTTTAGTGGACATGCTGTTGGAGTGTGACAAGGTAACCTTATGAAGGGATTCAAGAAAACTGGTTAGCCAGGACTTGAATTCTAGAGGTGATAAATACAGTTCAGAGGATAATTGTGGAGGATAAGTGTGGAGAGCAAGCAGACTTGAATAACTATAGGCCAATATCCAACTTACCCCTTCTCTCTAAAATCTTTGAAAAATTAATTCATAAGCTAATTTATTTCTACCTCATCTCCCACAACATACTCAATCCCTGTCAGTTTGGGTTCAGGCCTAATAAAAATATGAATTATGCTGTTATACACACGCTTGAACAAATATACACTGCACTTGACAAAAAGAAGTCCCATTGGTGATCTTCGTTGATTTACGTAAAGCTTTTGATAAGTTGGCCATTATTTGTTGCACATAAAATTATCACATTATGGTATAAGAGGGCACTCCCTCAACTACCTAAAGTCATACCTTAGCAACAGATGCCAATATGTGTACGCAAATGGAGCAAACTCTTCCACACAACCAGTTACAGTTGGAGTCCCACAGGGAAGTGTCCTTGGCCCTCTCCTCTTTCTCATTTACATATATGACCTACCAAATGCATCGCAACTACTCATACCCACACTATTTGCAGATGACACTACATATGTCTTCGTCTCACCCAAGCCCAGTCATACTAGCCAATACTGTAAATACCGAATTACAGAAAATATCTACCTGGATGATGATTAACAAGCTTACTCTCAATATTGACAAAACCTACTTCATTCAGTTTGGGAACAGAACTAGAAATGTTCCTCTTAACATAATGATAAACAGATCACCTATCACGAAACTCACAGAGAGAAAATTCTTAGGAATCCACCTTGATAATAGACTCAAATTTCAAACACATGTACAACAAATTTCCAAGAAAATCTCGAAGACCGTAGGCATACTATCGAAGATACGGTACTATGTTCCACAATCAGCTCTCCTGGCCCTATATCACTTGCATCATTTACCCCTATCTCACCTGTGGAATTTGTGCATGGGGCTCAACAACAATAAATCATCTCAGACCACTAATTACCCAACAAAAGGCTCAGTCAGAATGATACATTCCCACTCCAGGCAGCACACTCCACCAATAGTCAAGTCTAAACTTACTCACTGTACAAAACATCCATACTTATTATTGTGCCTACTACATACATAGAACAATAAACTTAGATAAAAACCCTCTCCACAAACTTCTCCTTACCAACCTCAGTACAACACATGACCATAACACAAGGCACAGATCACTCTTTGATGTTCTCCATGTCCATCTCACACTATGTAAAAACTCAATGCACATAAAAGGCCCAAAAATCTGGAATTCATTACCTGTGAATACAAAAGAAACACTGTGTGTTTATCAGTTCAAGACTCTTCTTAAAAACCACTTACCCACAACTGAATAAATATTGAATAACTGTATTTCGTAAAAGTGTAGCCTGTGACCCTATCAAACTATGTTTTTTTTAATTACATTACATAATAGAATAATCCATTCTCTTGAATGCACAGCAACTCATCTAATGACCATGTGACCTGTTTCTGCACTACAAATAGTATATTGTTATAGTATATTGATCATTTTGTTATATTATACATTGTTATGCTACAAATTTGTACAATTATAACGCCTCTTAATTGAAAGGTTCAGATTTCATTGTTTAAAATACTCATTTGTACTTCATGTTGTATTTTGTTTACTGTAATTTTTACCACTGAATATATCATTGCTTAGTTAATCTTAAGTTAATTTTAAGCCTGCCCATACTGCTCTGCATACAAGGGGCTTTTCGCATGTACACCCAACTATAATTCCTTGTGCAACTATGTATCATGTCCAAGTTTAGTGGCTTTGAGGTGGATGTGGCCACAAGTGGTCGAGGAAATATCAAAAACCTCGATAATAACCCATGTGCAACATTTGTTTAACACCCTTTCAGAATGTCATATAACCTATGTCCTACGTAAAGAGAAACAATTCTGGAAAGTATCTATCTCTGTCTCTATCTGTCTATCTGTCTCTGTCTCTTTCTATCTCTTTCTTTCTGTCTCACAGGTAAACATAAATACAATTATACATAGTGTAAATTACGTAGGATAACCCAAAAAATCCAGACAAAGTGCTATACTGTGCTTGTAGATATAATGCATAAGAATACCTGTTGGTTCACAGTAGCTCTCTCTGAGACAGAGAGACAGATAAGCGGAGACAAAGATGCCAAGCTCATCAAATGTGACCAATTATCTCATCACTGGACCCTCACTGGCGCTCATCAAAATGTCACCCCTTATCTCATCTTATCACTGGACTGCTCATCAAATATCATGCACCCTCGCTCGCAGAGCTTGTCACTGACACTTGTCTTACACATCATACTTCAAGAGAACTTCTTCTTCTTCTTTTTCTTCTTCTTCCTTCTTCTTCTTCCTTCTTCTTCCTTCTTCTTCTTCCTTCTTCTTCTTCCTTCTTCTTCTTCCTTCTTCCTTCTTCTTCTTCCTTCTTCTTCTTCTTCTTCTTCTTCCTTCTTCCTTCTTTTTCCTTCTTCCTTCTTTTTCCTTCTTCTTCTTCTTTTTCCTTCTTCTTCTTCCTTCTTCTTCTTCCTTCCTCTTCTTCCTCCTTCTTCTTCCTTCCTCT